TTATTTATATCACTATGTCATATAGTGTCTTTTTATAGTAGTTGTTTGTTAATTTTATGACGGTGTAGTATCCCCTTGATTGACAATGACTACAGATTGTTTCTTACTATTACTTTTGACAGATATTTATGATGTTCATGTTTTTGGACACTACCAATAATTCTGGTATAAATATTCTAGTTTTATGTATCATCAGGTTTATATGTTCATATGTTTCTGCTTATATATTTGGGTGAGGAATTTCTAAGACAAGGGTGTGTGTATAATTATAATATTGTGTTGACTCTGAATTATATAAAAGCATATTTTTAATTACTGAATATAAAATTTTTAATTATCATCTCTTTGACTCTTTTTAAGTCATATATATAGTATGGCTAGACCATATATCTTTATGATTCTGAATCTTGAAATATTTACTGATTCGTGATCTATATGGTCAACTCAGGTAACTATTCTATATATTCTTGACAAACGTGTCTTTCCAGTTTATACACACAAGAGCATACACGTGTATATATGTAGTACATATATATGCTATACATAAATATCTAAACATCTGTCACATACATTACATTTTTATATTGTGTTCTTCAGTTGCTTATGTCCTTAATCGTTATTTTGTCTGTTTAGATTTTATATTAATACAAGTACCGGTGTATTTACATTTATTTATAACATCTCATTCCATATTTTCTCTTCTATTTTCCAGCCTGTTTTTTTTTTATGTTTTTTTATTTCGGCATATTATGGGGGTACAGATTTTAAGGTTTCAATAAATGCCCATTCCTCCCTCACCCCACAAGTCTGAGTCTCCAGCATGACCAACCCCCAGATGGTGCACATCTCACTCATTATGTATGTATATACCCACCCCTCTCCCCCTCCAACCTGCCCAATACCCTATTATTGTAGTACGTATGTGTCTACTTAGGTGCTACTCAGTTAATACCAGTTTGCTGGAGAGTATATGTGGTGCTTGTTTTTCCATTCTTGGGAAACTTCACTTAGTAGTTTGGGTTCCAGCTCTAACCAGGAAAATATAAGATGTGCTATATCACCATTGTTTCTTAGAGCTGAATAGTACTCCATGGTATACATATACCACATTTTATTAATCCATTCTTGGATTGATGGGCACTTGGGCTGTTTCCACAGCCTTGCAATTATGAATTGTGCTGCTATAAACATTCGAGTGCAGGTGTCGTTTTTGTAGAGTGTCACTGGATCATTTGGGTAGATGCCCAGCAATGGGATTGCTGGATCAAATGGTAGATTCACTTGTATCGCTTTAAGGTATCTCCATATTGCTTTCCACAGAGGTTGAATTAGTTTCCAACCTGTTTTATGTTTATTTTCCAATTTTTTGTTATCTTTTTAACGTATTCTTATCACTTAGTGTTTACTATTTCTTTAAAGTATTCCTTTAGGTGATACCTCTTTATATAACAATATTATGGAGAGTAGTAATAAATACTGAATTGATAGTAGCTGGTCTAGCCATAACATTTTCCAAATTATTTCCTATGACTATGGAAACAATTAATTATTAAAGATTTATTTTATCAAAATTAAAAATTTGATAAAAAATTTTTCAAAGGGTATCATTAAGAATGTGTAGAACCAACCCATTTAGAATGGAAGGAAATATTTAAAAATCATATATTGGGCTGGGTGAGGTGGCTCTGGCCTGTAATCCCAGCACTCTGGGAGGCCAAGGCAGGCGGTTCATTTGAGATCGTAGGTTCAAGACCAGCCTGAGCAAGAGCAAGACTCTGTCTATATTAAAACATAAATAGAAATTAGCTGGAAAACTAAAAATATATACATAAAAAAATTAGCAGAGCATGGTGGCACATGCCTATAGTCCCATTTACTTGGGAGGTTTATGCAGTATGATTGCTTGAGCCCAGGAGTTTGAGGTTGCAGTGAGCTAAGCTGACACCATGGCACTGTAGCCATAAATAAATAAATAAATACATAAAATAAAAATCATATATCTGATAAGGGATGTTACCACAATATATAAAGTTTTAATATAAATCATTAATAAAATAAATTAAAATCAACAAAGTGTCCAAAATATTGAAACAGAACTTTCTCCAAGGAAGATTGGTGAAAGGCCAGTAAGCACAGGAAGAGACGCTCAATATTTTTAGCTGTAAGAGAAATACACATCAAGACTGATGAGAGGCTACTTTACACTGACTATAATGGCTATAATAAAAAGACAGGTGAGAAGTGTTGGAAACCGTATGAAGGAATTGAAACCCTCCTATACTGCTGTTAGTAATGAAAACTGGTGCCTGTACACTGGACAACAATTTGTCAGTAGGTTTTCATAAACAAAATTTGCCATAGGGGACTGCAATTCCAGTAGTTATTTCTACTGCCATAATATAAAAAACATATTTTCACAGAAAAACATGCATAACAATGTCATAATTGGAATAAACAAAATATCCCTGAGCTGCTAACGGGATGGATTAATTATTGTATATTCATCTACCAAAGGATACCATACAGCAACAAGAGGGAACAAAATACTGATACGTGCCACGACATGGATAAAACTAAAAACAATTATGCCTAGTGAAAATAACTATTTACAAAACGCAATTATTTGTATGACTCCATTGATGTCAGATTTCTAGAAAGAATAATCTATATAGAGAAAAATGAATTGGTATTTACCTGGGGTTAGGGGCTTATTGGAAAAGATATCTAAGTTTCTTTGGGGTTGATAAAAAAAAGTCCTAGAATAATATTATGGTGATGGCTTTATGATTCTTTAAAGATACTAAATATATTTATATTTTGTACTCTAAATAGCTGAATTTTATGCATTGTAAATTATATCCCATTATCAAAACCACTAAAGTAATAATATCAAAGTAAATTTGGGGGAAAGCAAAAAGGAACACAAGTTCTGGATCATGGAGCTGAGTCAACAGGATGCCCCGTTGTCTCTTTTATGTCACCCTCCCACCATCTCATGCCTGTCTAGCAGGAGCTCTTGCTCTTACTGACCCACCCTGGTTAAATTGTCTATACTACCCAAAGTGATCTGCAGATTCAGTGCAATCCATATTAAAATACCAACATCATTATTCACAGATATAGAAACAATGATTTTACACTTCGTATGGAACCATAGAAGACCCCATATAGCAAAAGCAATCCTAAGCAATAAAAAAATAGGAGGTATCAATTTACCAGGCTTCAAACTATACTACAAGGCTATAGTACTTAAAAAAGTTTTGCACTGGCACAAGAACAGGGACATTGACCAGTGGAACAGAACAGAGAACCCAGATATAAAACCATCCCCATATAGCCATCTAATCTTTGACAAAGCAGACAAAAACATACACTGGAGAAAAGAATCCTTATTCGATAAATTGTTCTGGGATAACTGGAAAGCCACATGTAGAAGATTGAAACAGGATCCACACCATTCACCTCTCACAAAAATCCACTTATGCTGGGTAACAGACTTAAACGTAAGGTGTAAAACTATTAGAATTCTAGAGGAAAACATTGGAAATGCTCTCCTAGACATTGGTCTAGGCAAAGAATCTGTGAAGAAGACCCCAAAGGCAATCACAGCAACAACAAAAATAAATAAATGAGACCTGATCAAATTAAAAAGCTTCTGCACAACAAAAGAAACTCACGAGAGCAAAACAGGCAACCTATAGGATGGAAGAAAATTTTTGCAAGTTACACATCCATAAGGGACTGATAACTAGAATCTATTTAGAACTCAGGAAAATCAGGAAGAAAAAAATCAAACAACCCTATTAAAAAGTGGGCAGAGGACATGAACACAAACTTTTCAAAAAATAAGACAGAATAATAGCTAACAAAATATGAAAAAATGCTCAACATCTCTAATATTCAGAGAAATGCAAATCAAAATCACAATGATGTATCACTTATCTCCAGTGAGAACGGCCTTTATCAAAAAGTCTCAAAACAATAAATGCTGGTGTGGATGTGGAGAGATAGGAACACTCCTACATTGCTGGTGGGATTGCAAACTGGTGCAACTTCATGTGGAAAGCAAAATGGAGATACCTTAAAGCAATACAAATAGGTCTACCATTTGATCCAACAATCCACTACTGGGCATCTTCCCAAAAGAACAAAAGACATTCTATAAAAGAGACATCTGTACTCGAATGTTTATAACACCACAATTCACAATTGCAAAGATGTGGAAACAATCAAGTGCCCATCAATCCATGAGTGGATTAATAAAATGTGGTATATGTATACCATGGAGTACTATTTAGGTGTAAGAAACAACGGTGATATAGCACCTTGTGTGTCTTCCTGAATAGATCTGGAACGCATTTTACTAAGTATCCCAAGAATGGAAAAATAAGCACCTCATGTACTCACCAGCGGAGTGAATTCACTGATCAACACCTAAGTGCACATATAGGAATAACATTCATTGGGCATCAAGCAGATGGGAGGGTGGAGGAGGCGATGGGTATAAACACATATATTGAGTGCGATGTGCACTGTCTGGGAGATGGACAGGCTTGAAGCTCTGAACCGAGGGGTGCAGGGGGACAAGGGCAGCATATGTAACCTAAACATTTGTACCCCCATAATATATTGAAATATAAGTATAAACAAAAATGATAAAGTAATACATTCAGAAATGTTAGGAATTGAGCTAAAATATTTTATCATATTTCTAAGTTAATTACTCCTTTTAAATATGAATTTCTGTCTTGTTTTTTAAAATTCATCTTTTTTTATACTTATCTATATATCAGAAGTTATTTTTATGTAGAAGACTTTTGCACTATTTGTGTACTCATTAAATTTATAGAGTTCAATGCATCTCAGAAATAACAGTCTACTGGAAATAAAAGCAGATTTCACAGTGGTTATATAATTTAAATTCTTTCAATATTAATCTACTGAAAAAGGGATGAATCTCATCCTCCTTGTTGACAAGAGAACCTATCTATAAATACCACCTAGCAAAAAAATAAATATACTCACACAGGGTCATTAATGACTGTCCTCAAAGCACTGAGCAAATCTGCACTTGACATTGTGTTGAAGTCCACTCTAACAGCTGCCCCCTTGGCCTTCATGTGAACAATGTTGTCTGGTTGATCCGCAAACAAAGGGATGCCCACCATGGGGACCCCGTGGTAGATGGCCTCATAGATGCCATTGGTTCCACCATGAGTTATGAAAGTCTTGGTTTTTGGATGACCTAGAGTTGGGTGAATATCAAAGAAATTATTGATTATGCATCTTAGGAATAAAATGAGAAAAGGACAATACAGGACACTGAAAGTGGTAATGTTTTCTAGATAACAGACTGGAACACCCACGACACTGCCCTGAAATTGCTGTCAGATTTCAGAGGAGGAAGCACCTACTGTTGCTGGAGAGGAAAGTGAGGCCTGCAAGGAAGAAATGGTGTGGGAATCGAAAATGGAAAAATGGATACAAGATTAGCAAGCAGAAAATATGAAAAGGCACATTTTGAGTAAAAGAAATAAAATGTGTGAAATATAAAAAAGGAAGAAGACAAGGAAAAGATTGGGCATGTATTCATAAAAACACGTTCTCTGAAAGCAACATGCAGTCAGGGAGTCTGACATGCGAGTGCCCAGGGCACAGGGAGAGTGCTGGGAGCAGGGCAGGGGTCAGAGGAAGGACAGGCCACACTTCCCTGTGGAGGTGTCGACACAGTGTAGTAAAGACCGGGATTTATTCCCATAGAAAATGCAGAGTCACTGGTAATAGAAGAGCAACTGTTCTTTTCCAGTGTCCTGTGGAATAGCCTTGCAGTAGGGAGAAGGGCAGGGTTAATGTTGTAGAAATAGGAGACAGAGAGTCAACCCAAGACGCTGTGGACAATTATCCGAGAATCAGGGACACCTCGTATAACATTACTTTGCGTTTGGAAATAAAGACTATGAGTGTATATAACATAATGACAACTCTTGTAGTTAATTCTTCCCCCCCAGGGCTTGAAAATAAATATAAAGAAGTTAGGTTTATTTTTGAGTTTTCAACAATAAATATTTCATATGTTAGTTGCTATTGACCTACTATCACTCTAATTGGCTGTTAGTCACATATTCAGTATTCTTTCTCCAGTAGCTCACCAAGAAGGTCATTCTGGGGCAACCACTTGTACAGCCGAGTATTGGGTCCCAAGGTGTCTGGTTTCTTGCCATGAAATCTCCATAGAACCTGTTGGGTAAAGAAAATATCTTGTTTCATGGGTGAGACTCCAAAGTTATGGCACAGTAAAACTCTAAAGGGGATATCAACCATCTAGTTAAATCCCCTCCATACAAAAGATGAAGAAATGAGAACAAAGTTCTTAAGTAACGAGGACTACTGAAACTCTGAGATAAAATAGAATAACCAGATTGCATGTGCTTATGATTAGAATCACTTTGGCATATAAAGAATTTTTAGTAACTTAGACAAATGATACTTTCAAGGTTAAATTCAAGTATTGAATAAATAGACAATGTATATATAAAACACATACATCAATAATGATCTTTCCATTTATTTTATTTGCCTATTTTCTATAGGCCTCCATCTTATAAATTTAATAATATTCTGTTTATTCCTTCTTTTAAATGTTTATATTTAATTATCTTGGACACTTAATTGTTGTGCATATGTATACATGATGTCTTCATAGATGCATAGATATGTAACATTCAAATCATAGTAATTGTGGTATCTATCACCTCAAGCATTTGATTAATATGAGTAGTAGCTCGTTTATATCTACTTTTTACATATGTAATTTCTTTAAAATTTGACATCATTTGATTTATAAAAATAATCTGTACAATGAGCTACTTGTAAAAAAGATAGCCATGCTTCATTGGTAGTATGCATGACCACTGTTAGGAAGAATTTATTATGTACAACTTTCAAGGAAAAGCTTAAGTGGCAATTTTTGAGAAAAATTCATAGTGTTACCACTATTTCTACTTTTGGAATTCTTTCACTGTAGAAAAATAGTGCTGATGGTCAATTGATGAATACCAACACAGCGGTTAAAAAGACCAAAATTGTGTTTTGCTACATTTTACTTGCTAGATCATTAACACTTAGATGATAGGCTACAGCAGTGATTCATATGGTCTGCTATAACCAAGCCATTTCCATGCCCAGTACCAAAATAAGCTTATTGTAGAATTTCCAGGCAATCCTTTTAAACTTCAATAAAATTTAGAAATGTTTACCTATAGTTGCTATTTTAGTGTTGAAGAGTATGGAGTTTTCAGCAAAAAAAGTGGCACTGGTCATTAGGAGAAATGTATGTCAGATAGAAAACTTAAAAACTAATTCACAAATACACATAGACTGCAACTGTATTCTCTACATTATTAATGGGAAATACTTTCCTACTACATCTTTGGAAGGGGCCTCTGAACCTCTTCCCATTCCTGCCTTCATTCTGATTGAGTTCTTCCTTTATTCCATTCTCCTTCCTCAATCCAAAGGAGGTGTTTGTCTAGTGGTTTGATCAGAGTCTTGTGGGGCCACGTTTTATAATGCACAGGTTCTACTGCTAGGGCAGGATCCCATCTGCATCTTCAAATTACATCCAGGTCTGTCCAGCAAGGCAGGTAGTTTTTCCTTCTCTAATTTGACTTGGCTAGGTGGGTACCTGGAGGAGTGATTTCTCAGCCCAATCATCCTGCCTCTGAATAGAGCCCACCAAATAGGCTTTTTCCACATTTACAGGAGTTAAAAAAGGTCATATCGCAGGGGAGGCCTAAACTGCAATGCATTGCAGACTTTTCTCAATACCTGCTTATTGTCATTGTGCTAGTGCAGACACTCACTAAAATGTAACTGGTATCTGATAATATCTGTAATGTATATGGTGCCCTCAGGAAGTCTGTTACAATAGGATTAAATGACAGGGTAGAATTTGGTGATTTCTGTTTACACGCTTTCAATTCCATGATATTTAATAATATCAAAACTTCACTGCACTTTTTCAGTATATTTGTTATTATCACACTGCTAATGTCAAAGTTACTACAAATGAAAACCCTCCTCTTTACTATTGTAGCATCTTCCATATATATTTTAGTTTTTGAGCTGATATCTGAGATAAGTAGAGCTATGCTAAAATAGTTAACCTTTTGGACAGAAAAATTCTGCCCCTGTACTCTTTACAAAGTCGAGCAGAGGGATTCAGTAGCTGTCCACCATTAGGCGCTTTCTCCAACCTTTTGTGGGATCTGGGCAAGGGCTGAAGCGATCACATTGGCCCTTTCTTCTGTCATGTTACTGAGCATCGACCCCAGAGAAAACACCACAACACCATTTTCTCCAGAGCTCTGGACAAAGTCTTCCATCTCCTGTGAAGAAAGAATGTGTTCCGTCACAAACGGGTGTCAGTGTAAGAAACACATTTGAAAAGTTTGTTATAAACTTCTAGGGACAGAAAATCAAGTATTGTCAAGAATTAGTAGAGCAAGAGCCATTTTTTAACTGAGCTCATCACTTGGTTTATTTGGAAAGTAATGTGTACTGTGAGATAGATGGCTTCTATTGTGGGTATTTGTGCAAATATGTGTTTGCATGTGTATGCATGTGTGTACGTGTGTGGGAGGAAGAGATGAAGTAGAGCTATTACAATATAGTTGGGAGAGATAATGCTAGAAAATATTATACCCAGACTGTTCAACTGTATTATTGTATTTGCTATTATAATTTAGTTTTCTAAAGGTGAATTCACTTGGCTTTAATATTATATGGTTATAGTTTTAAATCACTTTTGTTCATTTCAGGCATTTTTCTATAATATTGTTTGGTTTGGAGCCACTGGAGTTATTCTCTAATTATTACCAGGAGGCTATCTTACTAAGAATTGGGATGATTTTATATCCACATTTCTTCAGGTCTATAATCTTTTCTTCCTCACTTCAAGTGTGTCAGAATTTCCCAGTCTTTTCCCACACACACACAGACAGTAGGTGAAGGTTAATAGTCACTGACATGCTGGATTATGATATTGTGGTTTAGAATTTTAGTGAAATCCTCCCAAGGGTTCCATTGATATATAGAAGTAGATGGTATATAGGTACATAGTTGAATGATCATATTTCCTAGGTCATTGTTTAGATATGGGTCATTTTTTATCCTGAAATTACACTTGAAATTCCTGTGCTATTTATAACTGTCAGGGAGGGACTGTCCTTGTCCTCACACTGTGTCCCACGGAGAGCAGCTTTGTCACAGGAGAGAACAGCAGGCCTCGCTGTCGTGGAGACCTGGTCACTCTCCTGAGTAGCTCACTCACAGTGTGTAAAATTCTTGGTGAATATGAGCTTGCTTGGACTTGATTGAGAATGATCTTCACTTGTGTTTTCCATTCTGTGCCAATTTGTAAATATTAATACATTCTACATAGGAATATTCTAAACCATTCAATGTATTCTCCCACCAAAGAAATTCAAACAAACAACCCCCTCCACCCTCCACAAAAAAAGGAGAGAGGTGAAAGAACAAAAAGAAACAGAAACAAACAGAAAGAACCAAGTATGTTCTGGGCATCACATTCAAATCATATTCTCTTTTTGTTGTTGTTGTTGTTGCTTTCATATTAAATTCATTGTTTCTTTCTGCAAAATAATAATCCATTTTTTTCTACATAATAAGTAAACTTTCATATGTTAATCCTTGTGGTATACTCTCTATTTAAAACAGTTGTTTACAAAAAGAATAATTTTAAGCAATGACATCATAGAGTCACTGTAATTTTAATACTATTCCATGTAATGCATGGGGCATCCAGGTATTCTGTGAGTCAAGTTACCTGAAGCTGCATTTTGTGTAACTTGTGTTCAATGTTTTGTCTCACGGGCTGACTGCCTATAAAAACCTTCATTCATTCAATATGAAGTAATACAACCTCTCTTTACAGATTCATTACTGATCTCATTCTGTGACACCTTTATAAAAATAATACAAGATCCATGTAAGAAATTGTGTAATACTATAAAAAATTAATAAAAATGATATTGAGTTTCATCCATACTCTTTGTCTAGCAATATTTCTAATTAAAAGTTTATGTGCTTTCATTATGATTTTTATTCTGCCTATATAACTCAATGTATTTATGTGCTATATGTTTAGGAAATTTTAATCTTTTTTTAAATTCTTTAATCATTTTTTAAATTTATTTTTCCTATTTTTAATTTTTTTTATTTCAGCATATCATGGGGGTAGAAATGTTTAGGTTACATGTGTTTCCTTTCCCCCCTCTACCTTTCCAGAGTCAGAGCTTCAAGTGTGTCTTATTGTCTAAAATTTAATTCACAGAAAAAATTGTGATCTTGTTCTCTTCATCATTTTGCACCTCAGTTTCCAACAAAACATGCATTATGGTTTATTAATTAAATTTAGGTAAAATTATTGTTGTAATATGGTATGAACAGAATACAAGTTTTTAATCCTTTTTAATATAAGATATGTAAATTACTTCCAGTATTTATTTTATGAATATCTGCCACAGATATCGAATCTGCCATCTTGATTTATTTTTTGTTTCTTTTCCTTTTTTGAGACAGAGTCTCGCTTTGTTGCCCAGGCTAGAGTGAGTGCCGTGGCGTCAGCCTAGCTCACAGCAACCTCAGACTCCTGGGCTCAACCAATCTGCCTGCCTCAGCCTCCCGAGTAGCTGGGACTACAGGCATGGCCACCATGCCCGGCTGATTTTTCTATATATTATTAGTTGGCCATTAATTCTTTCTATTTATAGTAGGAGACGGGTCTCGCTCTTGCTCAGCTGGTTTCGAACTCCTGACCTCGAGCAATCCGGCTGCCAAGGCTCCCAGACTGCTAGGATTACAGGCTTGAGCCACCGCCCCCGGCCTATTTTTTGTTTCTATAGTTTCACATACGTATACTTTGAAACCAACAGGTACATACATTCTAAAGCTTCCTATATTTTGCCAAATGTCTTACTATTTTAAATAAAAAGTATTATCTCAGACTTAGTATTTAATGAAATTTGGCATTTGTGAATAATTACTTTGTATAATATTAGAGAACATTTCACGACTTTTAACTTGAATTCAAATTATTGCAAGTTAGTGCAATGCTTATATAGTAATCTAATCACTATTTTACTCCTAGTTGTCCTGTCCTTCTCCTACTCTCTTCCCTCTCTCACTGGCCCTATCATTTTCCCTTAAAGTAAATGGGGAAATTTATTAATAGGTTTAGATTGCATAGAATTTCTACTAATCTTACTTCTCCTTTTGTCCCTTGTGAAAATTACCATAAACAATATGGTATTCAAGTTAAATATTGTGTTTTATATTTGAATAAGATTTCAGTTTTATGTTGGTGCTAATAAAAGGTAGACAAAAAATATCTTGTAAGAGATTATATAAATATGATAGTGTACTAAAAAGCTTCTTTGTGTGTAAAAAACTAGGATATTAAAGTAAAATATATTTGGTTCTTGTGTTTCATAAGGAATATTATTTTATATGCTGGCAAATTCTATTGTAACTCAAATAAGGTCACTTTTCAGATACAAGTAATAGAAATTATTTGGTTTTTATTATATACACACTGTACATTTTCTCTGTGCTTCTCTCTTAGGCAATTATGAGGTTGAGGCAAAAGTTTCCCCAGGCAGCTTTATTGAGGTGTCCTACAGACTTGGCCTAAGGCAGGAAACACCTGCTCTGATAAGGTAAACCTTCCCTTTGGTGCTTAAAAGTGGTAAAACTCTGGGATCTCTGTGAGGAATGATTTCAATGCTGGAGTAAAACAAGAAAACATTAAGTTTTGTCAATATTTTGGGGACACCTTAACATTGGTGAGGAACAGTGTGCCTTTTAACGTAGAACAATGATGAAGAGCCTTTGCTCTTACAATAAATAAACAAAACCAAACAAATAGAAATATGTTCACCTTAGGCAGGGGTTTGGCAGGTTTGCAATGGAGTCCGCCAACGAAATGAACATTAGGTAAGAGTGGGCGAGGAAATTCCAAATCCCAATAGGTTCGAATAAGCCACATATCAGCTTTCTTCATTGTCTCATAGAAGGTAGTGGGTCTGCCTGAAGGGGAAAAAGAAAAGAAAACATAGATGACATGAGAATATAAAAGTAATTTCCTGAAAGGGGTTGGAATAATATAGCCAAAGATATGTAAAGTGTTTGTGTTTTGATAAAATAAACATATACCCATATTCAAATAAAGGCATGATTTAACTCCCATGTACTATATATGTGGCTCATAGGTTTGTATAAGAAAAGCAAAGTGCTAAGAGAATTTTCAGAGGAGACTATGTCTCTAATATCACATCAGTTTATTCACAATCATCAGTAATTATAAATATAAGCCACTCCAGAATTACCCATGCATTTTCTTATTTTTTAAAGGTGCTGTACTAACAAATATACATTTACACATATCTTTGAGCTCTGCTATCAATTAATCCTACCAAACCCATAAAAACGTCATTGTAATAAGTACTGAATATGGTATCAATGATTTATGAAGGTAGTCTCAAGATCCTTGTTGGTTCTCCAAGTTTATAAAGGGTTTTTGTGAAAATATGGTTGAAATCTTTCTACATACTACTTTTTTGGTTTCATGTGAAGATCTTAAATATATTAGTATTTCAAGAATAAACATATAATATTTATACATGGAATCTAGAATTTTTTAAAAATTATAGAAATCTATAGAATTTACTATCCTTTCATTTGGCTCAGATTTCATTTAATGTAGACATATCATTTAATGAAATATAGACACAAGCTTGGATGTTCACACATCAGTAAGATTTTAGGCTTTAAAACAGATAATCTCCAAGCCCTTAGTGAAGGATCGTAGAAACATTGGAAACTTCACATTTTAGTTGTTCCTTTTTGAGACAGACCTGTCTCTCAGCTGTTAAGGAATTGTTTGGGTTATGGAAAAAAATATTTTAATTTCCAAATAAGGAAATTAAGGTATACAAGGAGAAGCAACTTCCTCAATGCTACATTAATAATTTTGCTAGAACACTGTTTATCTCCTCAATCTACACATCTGCCTTCATCAAGATATTTCTTGATGTGTCCATTAACTTTTGTTAGGGATAAAATAATGTATAATCAATTAGTAACTAGATTGCTAATTTGCACATTTATGACTTCATGGATATACTGTAGAAGTGATGGCCATAAGGTTCTAACTGATCCTATAATTTTTCCATAATATTTGTGAGACTGATATATCATCTTATATTTTCATTTCATAATAGCATTTACAAAACATACACTCGTCTGATTCATAGTCATACAAGCTCAGCTTCCAAGGCATAAGGAAAGACAGGAATGATTAACCACCAATTAAAAACACAACTTACCCAGTACTTCACTGTAGAACTGATCCCACTCCTTCACATTAATTGTTTGGAACCAAAAATCAAAATAAAGCACATATATCATACTTTTTACCCTCTCCATGAATGTCATTTGATCACTTAATTCTGACATAACTATAGGTACATAGGAAGGAGGGAATAGAAGTCCTCCACCGGACTTTTCATATTGGTAGCCAGGAGAGAAGCGGAGACTGTACACAAGGGGTGTTTTAAGTATCTCAGCCAGCAGCTCACCACAGGGACCAAAGGCATCTGCAAGAACCACATCAAACTTTGACTCTTGTAGCCTTGTCATAAGTTTCTTGTTTAAAACTGCATCTTTACAGATCTTCATCATGATTTCATAAAATATCCACATGATTTCTTGTACTTGTGAAAAATATGACCAAAATGTATCTTTTGGAAGATCATATATCCATTTATCGATCAGTTGTATGAAAATATCTTCAAAATCACTTTTAGTTACAGACGTAGGAAAAACTTCAAATTTAATACTGGTTTTTTGTTTTGGATCAACGAGAATTGAAGCAGAATGTGTCAATACAGTCACCTCATGTCCCCTCTGGACAAGTTCATCCAGGATTGTCTTCATGTTCATCCAGTGGCTGTATTCTGTGGGCCACACCAGCACCTTTCCACAAGTCCCAGAGCTAAAGTGACCACTCAGTTGCATCAGCAGGAGGACTGAAGCCAATTTCATAGCCATCTTGGTGAAATGCAATGCTTGTTATTCCAGTGGCTGGTCTTCTCTGTCATTTCTCATACTTATAATCAAGGATAAATCAATCCGGTTAAAATTCAACTAGTATACGTAAAAGTTAATACAGCATTTGAACAATGTGAGCTTGTGGTTTTTAAGTGGAGAAGCCAAAGGTAGATGCACTCTTATTTACTCAAGTTTGTTTAATGTCCCTTTTCTGTTTATAAGTGCTATACTCCAGCTAATTTTCATGACTTTGCATGTGCAAGTAAGCTGTTATGTAATATATGTTAGGGGACTGTCAAACATAGTGGCAAGTGAGAGGCTCCTGGGTCTGCAGTCCCATGACACAGAACTGGAAACAAAGTAATTACACAGCTGAGTCATTATTTCTTCTAGATCATGGATCAAGGATTTCTTTGGTAAAAATTTCTTGATATGTAATGTGTATACCAAAAGATTAACCAATGATTGATTAAAAATGAATGTTTCATAAGACATTCAAAGAACTGTTCAACCACTGCAACGAATAGTTTTATCTCCATAAATGAATCTATGTGCAATTAAGCTTTCATCTCTCCACCCTGAATTTCTCCATCCCACCTGCCCTAGGCAATTACTGATTTTATTTCTGTGTCTATACATTTTATTTTTCTGTACAATTCGATAAATGGAATCATAAATTAAGTGGTCCTTCACGAGTTGCATTTTTCACTTGGCATAATGTTTTAAAAGGGTCACCCATGGTATTCCTTATATGGGGACATCATTTCTTTTTATTGCCAAATAGTATTCTATCATGTGGATGTATACATTTTCTTTATTCATTTGTCAATTAATAGACATCTTTTGTTCAATTTTGACTTTTATGAATGCCAAAAGTTATTTATTAACATGCATGAATGTTATTTATTGTTTATTCACATCATTATAATGGTGTGTTATGTCTATAATTGGTGTTATGTCTAAGAAACTAATAGGAAATACAACGTTACAAAGGTTAATTTCTATCATTTATTTTTAGAGTTCTATAGTGCTAGCACTTAGACTTAAATTTCTTTTATGTATTTTTAGTTAGCTTTTGTAAATGATTTGAATTAGAATGTTCAACTTTATTTTTTTGTATGTGGGTAATCTATTTTCCCAGCATCATTTGTTAGCTAATGTGCTCTTTTTCCATTAAATAATTACATCACCATTGCCAAAAGCCAGAAATGTGGGCATGCTTGGTGGCTCAGGCCTACAATTCCAGCACTTTGAGAGGCCAAGGCAGGAGGATCACTTGAGACCAGAATTCCCAGACCAGACTGGGGTACATGGTGAAAGCAGGTCTCTAGAAAACAAACCAAGAAAGAATTAGCTAAGTGTGGCAACATGCGCTTGTAGTCTTAGCTAACTGGTAGGTTGAGGTGGGAGGATGGCTTTAGTCCAAGAGTTGCAGTCCAGGTTTCTCAGCATTTGGGTGTATGATTATTACATGCCCTAAGGTATTATTTTTTGGGTTAAATCTGCTTGGTATTCTATGACCTTCTTGTACCTGAATATTGATATATTTCCGTAGGTTTGGAAAGTTCTTTGTCATCATTTCTTTGAATAAATTTTCTCCTCCGATCTCTTTGTCCTCCTCCATTGTAAGTCCAAGAACATGTAGATTTGCCTCTTTGAGGTTATTTTCTAAATCCTGTAGGCATGCTTAATTCTTTTTCATTCTTTTTTCCCTTCTCATTGTGTATTTTCGTATAACCTACTTAAAGGTCACTAATTTGTTTTTCTGCTTGATCACTTCTGATGTTAGGAGACTTTGATACTTTCTTTCATTTTGTCAATTGACTTTTCCAACTCCAGAATTTCTGCTTGATTTTTAATAATTAGTTCAGGGGTCAGAGTATGGTGGATTAGGGGTGACCACCTGGCTCTCTGCTCCCACAGGAGGAGGTGAAGGACGTGGAAAGCTACACGCAGTGGCTCCCTCTCCCACAGGATCAGCATCCTGGACCTGCAGAGAAGCAGCCGGGATGAGCAGCGCTGGAATAAACAAAGTGAGTCAGAAAATCAACCGCAGAGTCTGGAGAGTGGGAGATGAACTGTAAGAACAGAGTGTGGGACAGCCACGCCCATTGACTGGCGGGGGCAGTGTGGTCTGACCCACAGGGGGACGACTCTTCCTCCACCGACTCCACATCCACTCAGGCAGGGACGCACCTGAAGTCAGGGTGAAGTTGTGGCACGGGTGGCATGCAGTGTGGAGAAGAGGAAAAAGGGGGAACCACTTTGAACTCTCCAGTGTGCTGTGCTGGGTCCACACTGCACGGGGCAGGGACTGGTCTGAGTGGACACTTCTGGGGTCCTCAGGAGGGAGCTCGCAGACAGGCACCTCGTGGCTGGTGCCCACCCCCAGACTAAAACAAGGGAGGCGGACCCCAAAAAGGAGGCTCTGCCCTTCTAAAGCGCTGAAGATGCAGCTGGTGCAGCATGGTAGGGAGTACAGACCTCTCCTTCTGAACAGCTGGGAGTCAGTGTGTTAAGGAGCACTGTGCTCAGCAGGCTTAGAGACAGCGAGCCAAAGCAGCACATGCCACCCACCAAGCTGTGGCCTGCAGAGCTGGCTCTCTGTAGGTGGGCAGCCGCCATGTTCAGACTCAAGCCACACCCCTTCCCCTGCCAGGCAGAGCAGGCCCTGCCCTTGGAAGAGGGGATGACAAGAGAAGCCGCTATCTGAGCATCCTGTCCCAACCCAGCCTCTGGCCTTTTCTCACCAGCAGGTAAAACCCTGTCCTTAAAAGGGTGGAAAAAGGAGAGAAGCCACTTTCATGAGTGAGTTGCCATGCAATCTTGAGCGACACCCATCCCACTCAGCTGCCTGAGTTTTGGGCCAAACGGACAGACCCCCTCCTGGAAGGATGGAGTAGTGAAGGAGGTTGCTTATTGAGCCAAGACCTGTGTCTGCCCCTTTGCTGCAACTCGGTTTCCAGTACCTCCCACTAGAGGGACAAACCCAACTGTGAAAAGGCAGAGTAGTGGTGATGGAAGGCCCTCGGATGGGACCAGGCCTCTGTTATTTCCTGTGAAGGGACAGACCCCATGCCTGGAACAGTTGAGTAGTGAGGTAGGTCACTTTCTGGTCTGAGACCCTCAGTGGCCTTGGTCAGGGCTTCTTCAGCAGCCGTGGGGTCTGCACCTCATACCAGCTAGACACATCCTGCCCTTGGAGGGTCGAAGTAACAAGAGTAGACACTTTCTTGCTGAGATGCCCAGTGGCCTCAGGACATGCTCATCCCCCAGTCAGGTGACTTATCTTCCTCTTTGGCAGAGCAGATCCCACTCTTGGAGGTGGGGAGAAATGAGAGAAGACATTTTCCGGGCTGGCACTTGAGGCAATCTCGGCCAACACCTCTCCCCAGCCTGACAGCAGAGACTCAGCCCTGGAAGGCAGGGAGAAAGGAGAAAATTCTCTCTTTCTGTGTGACTGGCTTGAATATCTGGGATCTTAGAACTAACAAAAGGGGACAGAGTGGTGACTTAGTATAGCAGGTTGGTATTGACCATCAGATTAGATCGTAACACAATGGCATCCCCTTGGGGCCTTGGCTGTTGCCAGCTTAGGAGCTTGTGGTCTGGAAAGAAGATCTGGTCCAGAGTCCTTAGCAATTACACCAGTTGACACCCCCCATCAGGAGCTGCTTTGCAAGTGTAGTGAAAGAGCCCAGAATAACATATTAGAAGCTCCATTTTAGCTGCAGATGAAGAAAGCTTTGAAGTATACACCCTTAGGCTTGCAGGTACCTGTTGCCCTTCTCACCCTAACTAAATGGGCTCAAATAACCCTTGTGTGTGGCATGACATTCCCCCAAAACTGAGACACTTTTATATCCCCCTTTGGGTTTTGCAACAAAAGAGAGGGTAACCTCAGGCCAAACACAGAGTCTTCCATCTCAAACTAGTGGACAGCAGTGGAGTCAGGCACACAAGACCGATCTAAGTTCTGGGAGTCTAAGCAAGGGATCCAAACTCACTAATCTCATTAAGCAGGAGGTGAAGACAAGTCAGAGATAACCCAACAGCCTAAAACACATCTAAGACAATACAAGAGAAGAGCAAATCTCCCCAGCATTGGCAAGGAACGTCACTTTGGTGACTCTATAAACCAGTCACAGTACTCCCACTTCTGGACTAAGTAGCCTGATGATAAAGAATCAGCAAAAGAACATGGGAAACATGAAAAATCAGAGAGACAAGTCACCTTCAAAAGAATATATTCAATCTCCATCAATAGATACTAACTTACACGACATAATTAAACTGACAGAGGGTGAACTCTGAATATGAATTGTAAGAAAACTCAATGGAATTGAAGAAAAAGAGAATCCCAACATAAAGAAACCACAAGAACAAAATCTCTATAGAAATAGAAATACTACGAAAACACCAAACAGAATTCATGGTAATGAAGGAGGCATTCAAGGAACTTCAAAACACAATGGAAAGCCTCAAGAATAGAATGGATCATGCAGAAGAAAGAATCTCAGAGCTTGAATATAATGCCTATGTGCTAAACAAATGGGATGAAGAAAAAGAACACAGAAACAAGGGACAAGACCAAAACAAACAATAAATCTGGCATTGCATAAAGAAGCCAGATATTAGAATCATTGACATCTCAAAGGGAGAAGAGGAAAATGAACAAGGGATGGAAAATTTATTTCAAGGAATACTGGATGAAAATATGTCTGGTGGGACCAATAATCTTGATAGCCAGACACAAGAAACACACAGAACTCCTGAGAGACTCAATGTGAAAAGGCAATCACCACATCACATACTTATTAGGCTGACCAAAGTAAACACAAAAGAAGCAATTCTCCAAGCAGTGAAGCGAAAGCAATGAATAAACTACAAAGGAAAACCTATCAGACTAACTTGCAGATTTCTCAACTGAAACTTTTCAAGCCAGAAGGGACTGGGTGCCTATCCTTACTTTTCTAAAACATAATAAGGCCCAACCTAGATTCATTCTCCAGCAAAGTTGAGTTTCATCTATGAGGGAGAAATAAAGTCCTTCCCAGAGGAGCAATCACTGATGGAATTTTCCAAGACCAGACAAGCCCTACAAGAAGTACTC